GTGCGCGTGTGTGGGTGAGTGGGTGTGTACAAACAGGAAAGGTTATGCAAACGCAGGCAATGGAGATATTAGATGGGCCAGGCTCGAAGTGGCGAAGGGTAAGACAAATAGGGAGATAGCAAAAGACGACCTAGTTGAATATGGTCCAAACAAAGCGGCTGAATATTAGTTCGAGAAGTCTGCTAAGGATGAGTAAGCACCGAACTCCTCAACTATCAAGTGGAAAGGGAAAAAGGAGCGGGGACCCACCAGAAGCGAAGTGGTGAATGGATGTGAACAAATAAAGTCTGGCTTCTTGCTGCTTGGCCAAGTCGTTGCGAACCTGCAAGAGTAGCTGCCAACGTAATTAACGCAATAATAAAACTTGTCTATTCTTCCAGTTTGCCATAATTTATGATTGTTCGCTAGTCGACCAGGCCGTGTTTGAAAGAAGCCATGAGCAGACACACGCCTGACTTCACTCGCACATATTGGCAAGTGTGATGGTGTGTCAGTGCACATGTTGATGGAGCATAAACATGTGTGTGCAGGATATGCATACACTCAAACGTGTGCCAAAAGAGCAGCCTAGCAACTGGATAGTGATGAGCTAGTCAAGAGGGTAATGAGGAGGGCCAAAGCAAATGAACGCAAGGTGGTACGTGCATGCGTCCACGTAGACGAACAAGTTCGGGCGCATGTGTATCTACGCGTGCAAAAATGTGCTTGTTACGGAAATCGTGGGTCTCTGTGAGGAATCTGGCGAAGGTCTAGGATGACTCGAAGGGCTTGATACAGTTGCCAGAGCCCTGTACCAACGGGCAAGCAGAACCGCAGCCCTTCTGGACTTTGGAAGTAATTTTCTTGGCCCTTACGAAGAGAAAAACTCACCGACTATGCCAACTAATCCACGACCTTAGGCTGGAAAATATCATGACTACTCGGACAGAGGACTCCGAACAACGTGGATTCATCTAAGTCGCCCCCACAACATACACAAATTGTGAGGAAGAATGACTTATGTTGAACAGCCGTCCAAAAAGAGAGGGACTCAAATGGTCAGATCAGGGATGGTTACAACCAAAATCAAATTATTTTAACAGTTCTGCTAAGCTCATCAACTCAGTAAGACGTACGGTTAGGACCACACAGACGTGCTCATGCTTTTCATTGGTTCACTAAATCTCGATGATCCTGGACAGAAATGACGCCCAGTTACTAATGAGTTTATACCCTGAATTATACACACACACACACACACATACACATACACACACACACACACATACCTGCATACATGCACACATACACAAACTCAGAAATCTGCGTTCAGGTCGAATTTTCCCACAACCCAACCTTGCTTCCCAAAAGATTCTCATCCCGGCTGGACTGGTATCGCCGGCACCTCCAACGGGAGCCAAGCATTGCCTGCACCACACTCGTAGGGTTACTGTCGAAGCTGCAAACTTGTATTTTGCCATCACAATCGACCGAACTACTCATATACATAATAAGTAGTCCCCGAGACAGAAAGACGTTAAGAGCCAAAACTGGGACAGTAGGCTACTGTTAAGTGGAGTCTTGTAATGACGGCGAAATTTGGCGTCAGAGATTGGTATATTATGGGAGAGATGCCGCACAGTACCGAGCAAATATTCACCATGACGAGAGGTGATAAAAGAGGGTGTCAAGGCTCCAATTCACTTGAGCATGCCCAACCTGGGAACAAGGCTCCGCGACAGGCAGTGGCCGCAATGGGAGGCAAGTCAACTCCTCTCGGCGGCGTGCACTTGAGGATGCCAGTCGGTAAGAGGGTGGAGAAGAGACAAGGCGCAAATACTGTTCGTGTGAAGGAGCACTTTTGTGGAGTAGAGCAAAATTCCCATGTTGGAGCAAGGCGCACTGAGGGTGAATCTGAGCCTGGCCTATGGTGTGTGAATATAATTGTGCCTGCAGCATTCGGGTTAAGCTGTTTCAATGCCCACTCCTTCATGGCCTGTGTGAAATTGAAGAGCTAAACAAGCCAGTGGTCAAGCCGGTCTGTCTCGAGGCCTGTAATGAGGTCCATGCGGAAGGCAATGTTCGCCCGATTCTCAGTCATATGAGATTTGGGAAGGACTCGGGATAAGAGGATTTTGTAAACAAAAGTCCAGTCATTCTGTCGTTGCAAGCAGTTGTGTGTTTCAGTCGGAGGAGCGCGTGCTCCCAGCTATAGTGCCGGGGTAGGCTAGCGATGTATAAAAGAGATGATGAGGCAAATGGTGGAACAAAAATACCGGAATTAATCCAATTCAATCCAAACACGTTTATAAACACTTCACAAAGCCATTGAGACACATCCACCGGAGTGTGGAAAAACTCAAAAATCAGTTCCTATTCAATAATGAGTGATAATCGCGAAAACTACTTATTGACTACTTACATTCACTCGTATGAAAGTGTCTACTGATTAAATGATCCGGTCGCCTTGCCTGACGTTCAGAAGTTTACACAGTCCACGAGATAGCTTCCTTCGGTTCGAGCGAAAATGGGCTGAGCTTAGGTCAGTCAAATTCCAGAAAATATCGCCAAAACTGGCAAAAATGTCACCGAATCCAAGGCTGTCTATTGAATTGTGTCCGACTGAATGGCAAAGTAGAATAAAACGACTGCAGGCAGAATCAGTCATATTATTCTGGCAAGATTTGGCTTATAATCTCTTCATCATCTACAGGCAAGTTTTAGCTCAGACATTTTAACTAAACCCACCTACGCTTCGCATATACCAGATAAGAGTGTCCCGTCTGTAGTGTGAAATAGGCTTTATGACCTTAAAGACTAAAGACTCCGCAAAAGAAAGAGAACTAGAATAAAAGGGAAAATCGCCAAATTAAAGACAATCGCAAATTTGTGCTGAATCTGGCCACAATCGGAAGTTCCGGAGGGTCGCGGCGGTAGTGCTTGCAGAGTTTTTTCTCCATTCAACCCATCAATTCGTCGAATGTCAACTGGACGGACAATCTGTCGAAAAAGCCTCAAAAATGCACAGCATAAAAATGAGTGACAGACAGAAGACGAAAATGACGGGGAGATTGGGAGCATGGAGTGAAAAGCCGAATAAATCTGAAACAAGGTCCGTCAAAAAGTAGAAATGCCCAGCCCGTAACGGACATCCAGAAAGGTAGAGAGGAAATAAGTAATTTGGCTTCAACACAAAATTGCAGACTGCGCATGCCTGTCGATTTCTAATCAAGTCGTCGTCATCACGACTGAAAGATTAACCATTCAGGCATCGCGAAAAGAAAAAAACATACTGACTGTACATCGATGTGTGCATGCCGGCCTTTTGAGGATTAGTTAAGATGGGATCCAAATGCACATGGTGTGACGTGGAACAAGGGGATGCGTAGTGCCTAGTGCGACTTGGCTCGAGGCTAGCACTCACACTCACTCGCCTTCACGTCACATCCTACACCCTGCTTCACACTCAACAGCAAATCAGGCCGGAGAGACCAGGCGCTAGCCCATTGTGCGCTTTGTGGTGCAGGAATGCAGACAAAAGAGGCAAAGATGACAAGCGCAGCACATACAAATGGATAGACGGGTCGCAGATGTGATAAAAACAAAACCCAAGTGTCCGCATGAATCGCAGCCCGGGGTGCACAACCTAAATATCTTGTGCATATGGGAGCGGTTGGCACTACAGGAAATAAGGTCACGCCCGCCATCCCAAGAGAATAAGAACAAAAACACACAATAATCCAAATACACACACACATAGACACAAATTAATACACACGTGCATGCACAACCACACAAGCCATGTATACAGTCGTCAGGCTGGAGGGTACTTCGTGTGACGGACGGACAACAAAAAAGACAAGCTATTTCGAACAATCAGAGACATTGTGTCCTCTTTAAAGCATATTTTTTGAAACTGTTTCACTATTGTATACACGAGGACCTCGTGTTTGACCTCGTTTGTACAACTTGATCGAAGCGACAGAGAGTCCGTGTGGTACCTACCCAGTCCTCCGGCATGATAATTTCCAGAATCGTACCGGAATCCCAGTCGGCATCTTCAGTGAGAGGCACAGAGATGCAACTTGACGACTGAAAGAAAAGTGTCCGTGTACGAGGAACAACTTGGAGCCGGGCCCTCTGGCATCGCTTGAGCTCACATCACAAGAGAGTGAGAGAGAAAGAGAGAGAGAGTAATCATTTGCCATGGAAATCGAGTTTGGAGAATAGTAAGAATGGTGAAGCTAAATAACCATCCCCACACACGACCAGCTAATTATGCGAATGGGCTCGAAAATGTCTGATTATGTCCGCTTGCACACAGTTTTGAGCACACGAGGCCGACCATATACCACCAGTCCGTAACCAAGGCAAGGCATTTTCGTTCTTGGATTAAGTCGTACAAATCATCCTCCAAAGCGAGTTGGTGCGCTGGAGGATGGAGACCTTAGCCCCTGGAGCGAATATATATATATATATACAAATATGTATATGTATGCATATTTATGCATATGTATATATGCATGTATGTACGTATATATATATATATATATAATGTATGTATGTATGTATGTATGTATGTATGTATGTTTGTTTGTTTGTTTGTTTGTTTGTATGTATGTATATATATAGTATGTATGTATGTATGTATGTATGTATGTATGTATGTATGTATGTATGTATGTATGTATGTATGTATATGAATATGTATATATGTATATATATTTATACATACATATATGTGTGTGTGTTTGTGTGTATGTGCGTGTATGTTTGT